CCTTGGGACACCCAGGAACACCCTCTGGACACCCAGAAACAGCTCCTGGACACCCAAAAACATGCCCAGGACACCCAAAAACACCTCCTGGACACCCAGAAACACCCAAAACCACCCTTGGGACACCCAGAAACACCYCCKGGACACCCAGAAACACCTAAAACCACCCTTGGGACACCCAGGAACAYCCTCTGGACACCCAGAAACACCCTCTGAACACCGAGAAACAGCCTCGGGACACCCAGAAACACCGGAAAACACCCTTGGGCCACTGAAAAACACCCACGGGACGCTRGAAAACACCCCTGGGACACTGGAAAACACCCCTTGGCAGCCCAGAAATGCCCTTGGGCCACCCAAAAACACCCGCTGGACACGCAAGAACACCCGTGGGACACTGGAAAACGCCTGTGGGACACCCCAGAACACCCCAAAACACCCCAAAAACGCAGCGGCGGGCGGGGGGGGGCCGCACGTGCAAACACCCGCAATAAACCACAAAGCAGCCCCGCTTCCCGCCATCCTTTAACAACAACCGGACCGGGTGAAACACCACCCCCCCCCCAAAAAAAACCCCCAAACCAACAGTCGCGGTGCGGCGGTAGCTACAGCCGGCGCCGTCACTTCTTGGACATCTTGGCCTGTTTGTGCTTGGGGGGCGCCCAGCGGAGGCAGATGGAGTCGACTGTTGGTAGAAGCGGGGTAGTTAGCGGTGGTGCGGGGGGGGTTACCGGGTGTAGTCGCGGTGTAGGCGGTCACCCGTGATCGGCGGCCGCTTGTACTGGGCGCTCTTGAGGTGCTCCTCGACCAGCTTGGGGGTGACGCAGATGACGTGTTGGCCCTTCCAGTACTTGACCATGTTGAGCGACTGTAGCGTGCTGATGATGTCGGTCTGCGTGATGCTCGTCATCTGGCTGCGGGATAGCGGGAATTCCGGGAATTCCGGGGATGTTGGGAATGCCGGGAAGGGGTTTTCAGGGGATTTGGGGGGGATTTGGGGGTTATTTGGGGGGTTTTGGGGGGGATTTGGGTGCTGATGATGTCCGTCTGCGTGATGCTCGTCATCTGGCTGCGGGATAGCGGGAATTCCGGGAATGACGGGAATTCTGGGAATGACAGGGGTGCTGGGAGGGGGTTTTCAGGGGATTTGGGGGGGATTTGGGGGGATTTGGGTGCTGATGATGTCGGTCTACGTGACGCTCATCATCTGGCTGCGGGATAGCGGGAATAACGGGAATTCCGGGAATTCTGGGGATGTTGGGAATGCCGGGAGGGGGTTTTCAGGGGGTTTTGGGGAGGATTTGGGGAGTTTTGGGGGGCATTTGGGTGCTGATGATGTCGGTCTGCGTGATGCTCGTCATCTGG